ATTTTGTTACTAGAAAAAATGGTGACAAATAAAGTCCTACATTGGCGTTCTCAACTACCAACTCATGAAACATTCTTTTTTAAATTGCGTTCAGAATTAACTGGTGATGAATGACACATGCATGTATAACACTTATTCGTAGCTTTATGGTCTAATTGAGTCAGATGGGTTCTTAGTCTGTGATGAGTCAAGACAAGCAAAACTATTTTGACACTAGCTAGATATCAATCAAACCACTCAGGTTCCACTATCATTTGTCTTCATGTATCTTAGTCAGGCCATTTCAAGGCACCCCTTGTGGCTGGTACTTTTCATTCTTTCTTATGAAATGGTGGGATGTTCTTCTCTTCATTAATTGCTGATCCAATGAAGTAGTAGTTCTACATTTATGCCTCAGCTAAAGATCCTACTACTCATGCAACACTGAGCTGATGAGATGTTCCATATCTTGTATTTATTCTTCAAAGTGAACCCGAGTAGTCCATTTCACAAAACATTCAATCTGAATTATTTCAGGGGTCCCAGTTAAAGCTTCATTATTTCAACCACTCTCTGTAGTGTGCATAAAGTTTGAGAGATTGAAGCACTAATAAGATAGCCAGTCTTTCCGTAGGTCCCAACAATCTAGCTCTTACCATTGTGGCTTCTTGGCCACAGACCAACATTACAGAGAAAGCTATATGACTGCCATTAATGGACCAATATAATTCAAGCCATTACCATCAACCCAAGACACACACAAGGACAGAAATTGGCCGTTTCTAATTCTAACCACACCCACTAACCCTGTACAAAAAAGGCAGTGTACTCATTTGCTGAAATGGGTGGGCTCTGAGTCCTGTTTGACTCAAGAAACCAATGCCACCAGCTGAGATCAATGACTAAGATAGCATCCTTTAATGTTACTTGGGATTCTAACTCATCAATATTCAGCAATGAATTAATCAACTCGATCGTTCGGAGCCTTATTAGGGCATTTCTCCAATCCAATCACCCAGTTATTCCTGTAAACCCAATGTAGGGTTTCCATTTTCATAGCTGAAACCAATCCTAATTTGGACTTTGGAGTAATATATTCAATCTGAACCCATAACATAAAAAAGAAAAGAAAATGCATCTTTTCTTGATTTTGCTTTCAATTATAATACTGCTTTTATTGAAAATAGAAAACAATTAAACAAGAGAGAGAGAGAGAGAGAGAGAGGAAAGTTTGTTAGAATACAAAAATGGACAACAATGAAAATGCAGAGTGGCTTTTGCTGTAGTACATTAAATAGTCCCACAGGATTTCAGTTGAATATTTAAGAAAAGTGAAGGATGAAAAAGCAGGAAGACTTCTCTTTCAGTTGAATATTTAAGAAAAGTGAAGGAAGTTGAAAGAAAATCGCCCACTGTTTTTGTTCTTTATAATTCATATTTACCTCATTTCTCTTTAGTACTTCTCCAGTACTGCCACAGAGAGATCTAGAGAGAGAGAGAGAGAGAGAGCACTCCACATTAATTGTTGGTGACTGTTCTATCTTGTCTTCTCCTACATGAGAAGAATCTCAAATGAATGTGATTGGAACCTTGGTCACTGCTGTATTACTGAAAAACTACTGTAGATCACGGATTGCTCCTAATGGCCCAAGAGTTGGGCCTAATTCCACTTTGGTCCCCGAACTTTAAAATGCGATAATTCAGGCCATGTTTGGTTCAACTGCCATTCCTTTTCATTCTTATTTGAGATGAAATTCTAAAATGGACAAAAATGGGTAAAAATAGGTAGAATAAGAAAATATTGCTATAAACCAAATACTTTTTTCCTAAAAATGAATTCTTTTCAAACTGATAAGTGTTCTATGTTGCTTATTTTCATTCTTAAAAAAAGAATTGTCAGTATTCATAAACCGCCAACCTAGGTCTCCAACAATCAATATTTACCAGTTGGCATAGATGTTTTATAGAAGTACTTTTGTAAAAGTGCTTTTATAAAAGTTTTTTTGTAAAAAAAGTGCTTTTATAAAAGTACTTTCATAAAAGTGTTTTTATTAAAGTGCTTTTGTAAAAGTACTTTCATAAAAGTGTTTTTATTAAAGTGCTTTTGTAAAAGTACTTTGCTTTTTGTGTAAAAGTACTTTTATAAAAGTGCTTTTATCAAAATGCTTTCATAAAAGTGCTTTCGTAAAAGTGCTTCCATAAAAGTGCTTTTGTAAAAGTGCTTCCATTAAAGTGTTTTCGTAAAAGGCTTTCATGTGAAAGTACTTTTATAAAAGTGATTTTGTAAAAGTATTTTTCTAAAAGTAGACATCTATGACAACAATTTTGTAGGTAGAGTTTCCTTAAAGAATGAAATGAGCAAGATGGAGCATGACTATTTTTCATGCTGCAAGCTGCTCAATTTTTGTGCCATAGGGCTGATTTTCATTCTAAAAAGAATGTGACCCATGACAAGAATTGTGTAGTCAAACACTAATGTTATTCATTCTTACCTCATTCTTGCCCAAAATGAGCAAGAATTAAAAGAATGAAGCCCATAGCAGTGAAGCAAACATGGCCTGAATATCCAAACTTTCAAAACATGACAATCCAATACTTATTGTTAATTAACTATTAACTAGCCATTAAGTGGCATTTGAAAAAGTCATAAATGCCCTTCGAATGCCATCTAATTTTTTTTATCAACCATCCAAACATTGACAAGAAATTTAACAATCTCAGGTCCTTGCATTTTTTATTCAAGAAAGTTGGGGTAACTAGAATGTCCACTCAAATGTGACCCAAACTTTCTTGAATGGAAATGCAAGGATTTGGTTGATAAAGAAAATTAAATGGTTGATAAAGAAAATTAATGGCTGGTTAACAACTAGTTAATGACAACGTTTTGTCAACATTTTGTCAACGTTTAAATGGTTGATAAAGAAAATTAAATAACACTTGAAGGGCATTTGTGTCCTTTTCAAATGTCACTTAATGGCTGGTTAACAACTAGTTAATGACAAATACTAGATTGTCAAGTTTTAAAATTTTGGGTACTGAATTGTTACATTTTAAAGTTCGGGGACCAAAATGGTACTAGGCCCAAAGTACAAGGTATTAATTGGGAATTTTCCTTGATTAATTACGAATATAAAAACTAATCAATCCTCTTGATATTCAAAAGTTGGTCATATGGAAAACCCTTCTTTTTCTTTCTTACCAAAACTATTTTAAATATCTTTACTTATCCTTACTATTATTTATTATTTTCTTAATAATATTGTATGATGTTTTCCATATTTTAAAATTTTTATTATTATTGTTTTATATATCTCTTTTATTTTTTTACATTTTTATTAAATTTATAATAATTTTTTACTGTTTTACCTTTTTTATATTATTTTAATATTTATAAATATCTTTATTATAGTTTATATTCATTTTATTTTTTAATTTTTCATTACCATTATTTTTTTTCTTTTTTATTATATTTATAATTATATATTCATTACCATTAATTTTTCATTAATACTCACACACTTATGTAGGATAACGGTTGACCACATGAGAATGATGTGATCATTATGGGTGGGGGAAGTGAATTCACATCCCAACTGTGTATTAGGAACATCTCCAAATGACAAGTATGGGAGATGTTTTCATTACATTTTAAGATGTGCATGTAGGGTGTTTTTGAGGCATCTTATGTGTGGGGCAGATGTGAACTCGGGGAAAGTAGACAGGAGCCCAATTCACTTTGCACTTAGATGCCTGATTGGGGTGATCTTTTTTATTTTAGGTAACTTTTTGAGATCTATGTGATCCATACCCCACTATTTTTGTAAAAAACTTTTTTTTTCTTCTAGGGCTGTCCATGGTTCAGTAACCGAACCGTGGGCATATTTTGCAAACCGAACTGGTGGTACCGGTTTTTCATTTCTCCAAATCGAAACTGAATTGGTACCACCGGTTAATAGGTCCGTCGATTTCGGTTTTTGATCGGTTCAGTTCTTTGGTTTTTTGGTTTTTTATATTTATAATATATATTATATAAATATATGTATAATATTATATTATAAATAATAAATGGTATATAATATATTATAAATATTTTAAAAATATATAATATATTTATAAATAGATTATTATAAATATAATATAAGTATATATTTATATATAATGAATATATATTTGTATATAATATATAGAAAATATGTGACATATATTAAAGATATATATAAAATATACATATAAATATATATACCGGTCAATTCGTTAACTGCCAGTTTTTCTTGTAGGTTAACCAAAAACCGAACTGATCAGTCCGATTAACTGCATTTTGCAGTTCTCTATTCGATTCAATTTTTCGATTTTTCATGGACACCCCTACTTTTTTCCTTATCTCAAATCATAATTTTTAATAATTATTTTATAAATAAAAAGTTAAAAATTAAACTAAAGATATAAACCAAATATAAAATAATATTTATGTTATATCTAAAAAATAATTATATATTTTTATTAATAAATACATATTTATTCACCACAGGTCATCCGGAAGCAAAAACAGTTCTGCCTCCGGCCCCAAGTTTTAACGCCATAAAAAACAGTTCTGCCTTCGCGGTTTTGCCTCGCCACATCCTGAGTTAGCATACAGCTGTCGTTTCCTTCTTTTATCTCTCGTAACTTGTTCTCCTGCAATTAATTTTCAACAGTTATTTTTAGATCCATCTCCAACCAGCCGTTGGATTAGAATCAATCATCTCTACCATCCTGAATAGTTGATCTCTGTTTGCCACAAACACAAATCTGAGCTTCTACTATTATTCACTGTAAGAGACAAATCTGCCCGGCTGAATGGTCGGTGGTCAATCAAATGGCTTCTGCAGTGTATCAAGCATTCAATCCCTCTACAGACAAGTTTCTGTTTTTAGTAGCTTTTAAAAAATAGAATCGTACCAGAAATCTACTTCATTGCAACCCGGTGTTCTTAATCTTCGGTCTCTCTGAACTCAAAAAACGTAAAAACCAGAGGAAGAAGATTTATGAAGTAAGCTATCGATCAATTCTTCTCATCACAAATTTACATTCCCGGAAGAGTTCAATAAAAGAGAAAAAAAAGAAAAACAAAATGAAAATTTACTATTCTAATATCTCCTTCTCTTCCTCCAAGAGGAGCTCACATCCATTTAAGCACTCCGCTCATACTCAGAAATCAACCCCAAAACCTGAAATACGAGCTTTCCGCACCAAGCATCGACATTTTTTTTTTTTTTTTTTTGTGATAGAAAAGAAAAATTAGAACAAAGCTCACTGGCTCTGCTCTTGGGTCTCTCTGTTTTCTGCCTGGTTCTGGTCATGGTTACTTGCCTTGGCTTTCTCAGTGTTCTCTGATTTCTCTCTGTCTGGGGTGATTCTGTTGTCATCTTCCTTGTTTTTTCTATTATCTACGAATGCAGAAGCAGAAGCCTTGCTCGAGATGGGTGTCGCCAAGAAGGTTGGATTCTCATGGCCAGCCATGATTACCAAAATCTTCTCTTCAAACGGAGTAGGAATTTTGATGGCTTCACCGACCTTCTCCTCCCTGTTCTCTGCATCCCTCTCACCGTCTTCTCCCCCCTCCAACTGCCCAGAGAGCTTCCAGTAGGAACAGGCGAGAATCAGTAGAGCAAAAGCTATAAGACCCAACATGGCCGCCAAGCCCCCAAAGAGGTACGGCACCGGAGAGTGCCATGGCGAGTGCTGGCCCGCTCCGGCCGCCGCCGACTTCGGTGCTGACGCTGTCGTGGCTGTGGATCCAGTGGCCACTGTGGTTGTTGTGCCGAAGGTACCACCTGTCCTCATTTTCTGGAGTGTGTGAAGGAAATTTCAGGGATTCTGATGAGAGGTTGTGAGAATAGAAAGGCAAAGAAAGCTGATGTTTACTGAGTTGGATCGATGGAGAAATGAGAAGGGTTGATGAGAATTTATAGGGAAAAAATTGAGTGAGGAATGAAGGGTTGATGAGAATTTCTTGAGAGTGGGTTAAGCTAAAAAATACTCCACTAACCACTACTAGACTACTAGAGTATATTTTTTCCTTAGCTCTCATCTTTCTTGTTTTTCTATAATTTTTCTAAAGAAAACTTTTTTATTCTTATTTTAATGTGAATTTGTGAAACTTATCCGGAGTAAGGGGGGCCCTTGATTTGATGGGTCTCAGGGTCCCTTGATGTACTTCAAAGAATTACTGTACAAACGCACTAGTACCATGGTCTTACGTAGAGAGATCGAGAGAGAGAGAGAGAGGGGGAGGTGTGCTTGCGTAACGAGAGACAGCAATGACGATTTTGGGGAAGGAATTTATGGGAATGAGAAAGGAAGAGTGGGGTCGATTGATTTCGTCACTTATTTGATTAATTGATTTGAATTATATAATGGGGTTTGGTCGTTTGGAGGTTTCACCATCATCTTCATCCAGCTCCAATTTCTGGTTTTGTCTGTAACAGTATTAGTATTGTTTTGAAGAGGTTTGTTTTGAGTTCATTTAATGCTTATAAAATCACAAGATTAAATTAGACTAGAACACTAGAACAGATTCAATTCATCAGTTGAACAAGTAGAAGGTTAGTGTAAGTTTAAAAGCTTGCTTCAAAGCATGGTTTTACATATATATTTCAATGCTTATATCACAAATTAATTATGCCTGATTTTGGTTAGGACTTAGTAATTTGAATTCAGTTTAATGGAATCGGCTTTAGGGATGTGATTAGAGTAATAGGAAATGATTTAAGGACTCAATAAAATGAAAAGGTAGAAGAGGATTCATGTAGCCGGTTCCATGCATGTAGTTGGGACTTGGGACGAGGCTCAAATTCAATGATGATGATGATGGAATCAGCATTAGGGCTTTCAATAGAATATGCAAGGAAAAAGACAAGGAGTCCCAAAGTAGCTTTTCTTTGACAGTTTGGGGAAATCAGAACTTATTTCTCAATAATTCAATGTATAATGGTCAGTTCCAGCTTGACAAACGAACTTGGACATGCTACATTTAAACAAATATTTTTTATATTTTTATGTATATAAAAATAATTCTTATTTTTGTTTAATATGATAAATATATGGCACTAGAGATGTTTCCAAATGTTTTTTACATTTTTTTTTGTTTTTTATAAATATATATATATATTTTTATTTTTTATACTTTCTCATTTTTATTATTTAATTATAACATCGAGGGTTGATACATTTAACCCAAAAAGTTTGAATTATTGACTCACCACCAAACAGAAAAATAATTCAATTTTTGGATCAGTTTTAAATGATTAAAAACAATTCTTCTTTATCAAACTTATTTTTCTTTAATATGATTATTATAAATTATTAGAATTGTGCCCAAATATTTTCTACAAAATTTATGTATTTTTTATATTTTTAATTTTTATCATTTAATTATGATATCAATGGCTGACACATTTGATCCATAAGGTTGAAATATCAAGATGCCATCAAATAGGAAAACAATTTTATTTTCAAGTCTGTTTTAAATTTTGTATTTCATTTCAATCATCAATAAAAAAAAAATCTTATTTATAACACTTATTTTTCTTTAATATGATTAACATAAAATATTAGTGGTTTTTGTATATTTATCTTTGGGTCTACCATAAATTTTGTTAATATGATTAACAATTTCATCTTTGGGTCTACCATAAGTTTTGTATTTCATTTCCAACATCAATGAAAACAATTATTATTTATAACACTTATTTTTCTTTACTATGATTTATGTAAAATATTAAAGATGTGGACAATTTTTTTTTAATTTTTTTTGTATTTCTACTTTAAAAGTTTTATTATTCAACTATGACATTAAGGGTTGACCTATTTAAAATGGATGGTCGAACTGCTTACTTGCCACTAGGATGGAAGAACAATTTTGTTTTTGGGCTGGTTTTAAAAAATTTGAATTTTATATAGTTAAAAAGTATTGGATATTGATCTAAATGATAAAATTTATTATTGAGAAAAAATAGCATAAATATAGGGTTCAATGAGAAAGAACGGAAGTTATTAGAGATGAACCAAATTCAAAAATAAAGGTGTTTTAATCAATAGCAACATTAATTCAATGAAAGATAATAATAGTTATATAATAAATGCAAGAGTTAATAAGAGGGAATTAAAAGAGCTAAAAAGTAATAGTTCAAATTGTGTTTTTTATCTTACAAATAAAGAGGGACTAAATTTAAAAATAGGGATATTTTAGTCAAACGAAAGTTCTACACTCTTATTCATACTTCTAACAGTAGTATAGATACACTACAGGAAAAATGACTTTTAGCGGCAATCGACAAACTGCTGCTTAAAGAAGTGTCACTAGAAGTTCTAGCGGTAGTTTTCTCGACTGCCAGTAAAAACAAAAAACTACCGCTAAAGAACATGGACATCTTTAGTGGAAGTCACAACTACCACTAATATATATATATATATATATATTTTAAAATTTATTTCTAATTTGCTTCAAATAATTTGTTTTCTCTATATTCATCTAAATTGAAATGAAATACAAAATGGTAGTTTGGATCCACAGGTTGCTCTTTAGCAGGAACATGAATAGTTTGGATCCATCAGCATTGAATATGTTCTTAAACAAAATGGTAGCCAAAGTCAATGTGCTTAGTTCATTCATGAAACATAGGATTGGTAGCAATGTGAATCACAACTTAACTTTCGCAATGAAGTTGCATGGATAACCAAACTTCGAGACTAAGATCTTGTAAAACACAGAGTGTGAGAGAGAACAGAACAATGCAATCCAATTGAGCTGTTAGTTTGGATGGAGAAAGCAAATTGAAGTGAAAGCTAGGAGCATGCAAGGCATCATGGAGAAGTACGCTTGGGGTTAATGTAATGGAACTAGAGTGAGCAATAGTACAAGTGCTATAGCTCCATTTGGAAGTTGGATCGGTTTAGAACATGGCAAGGGATACAAACTTGATGAAACAAGGAGAGAGATCGGTCACTGTGTAAATTGATGCTCCACTGTCAGTGATCCAACATGCTGGAATAGTGGGTGAGCAAGCCGTCTTACCAAAGAGATTTGCAGACATTGCCTTGCCTTGGCCTAGGATTTGCATTAGCTGCTCATATTTTTTGAGCTTAAATCACCTGACACCTGCCCACATGTGGCATCCAACTGCAAAATATTTTTTATACACATATATTGAAGTTACGAGAGATGTTCCCAATGTGCGATTGGATGCTTGTACTTTCAATATGCGGCTTGATTATCAACGTAATCATAACACACCAATTAGGTTGGTTCTAATTCAACCATTTATTATGTTGTGAGGATCGGCTTTCCTCCCAAATCAGAGGATAATCGATGAGATCAAAGCCATTAATTCTAATTCGGCTTTATGTTTTGGTTGAGTCCGGATCACCTGTCTACGCCTACCCACAATACACTATCCCCTGTGAATTGGAAACATCTCCCCCTGTATAATACTATGCAGAGGATGAGATGTTCTCCATGTGTGGCTCTAGTAAACATGGACAGAATTCTTGTGGGCAGGAGATCCAGACTCTGGTTGGTTTGACTACTTCAGAGAATTCTTTGATGTGATTGGATCGGCTGCCCACAAAGCATGCCCCACAAGCGCCCCATAGCCCAACCCCTCTGCGCACGGGGAACATCTCCCGTGCTTGTCATGGGGAGATACTCTCGATGCACGGATGGGATGGGCTCATGGGCAACTGATCCTGTCCCTTCTTTGATGCAATGATGTTCAATTGTTCAATTGTTCAATGCGGCCATTTCTAGGCATAAATCCACCAAAGAAAAATCACAACATAATGAGGTTCAATACTTCAACCAAGGTTCAAAATATCGATACAGGTCGATATGCGTTGGTATGACCCGACATGCCCCCTGAACCAGCTTAGACCCTGAAACACCCTCTGTAGGGATGTATCAGGGGCGAGCCCCCGATATGATATACATAAGTTGATATGACCTGACATGTGTCAAAATTTTGAACCTTGACACTAGCATAATGTGCTGACAGTCAATTCTTGTCCCACAGGCCCATTCAATCTAGTGAAATAGGTCCAAATGAACATATTGTCTGAAATGGCATCACATCTTGCTTCAATTGATGAATTCTTGGAGTATTGCCTTGAACAAATCGCTCCTCTAGGTCTTTCCATATCTCCTGTGCCATATTTGTGTAGGCTACATTGTCATGAAGGTCCCTTGCAAGGGAGTTGAACAACCATGAAATGATCAAAGATTGCATTTCATCCATGGCAATTCTTCATCATCAGGTGACGAATGAGCTGCCCTCGGAACTCTTCCATAACAAAGCTAAACTTGTTTTTATCTCGGAGCGTGTTTTTTATAGCTCTCTAGCAGGTCGAATACTTCTCACCATTGAGTGGGCATGAAACTAGTACTTCTCCCAGTTGATTAGGGCTGCAAATAGATTGAGTTGGATGTTTATATTCGAATTTGAATCTAATCTTATCCATCAAATTTATATCGAATTCGGATTACAATCCGACATTGAATAGTATAGATAAATTGAATTAAAAATTATTAGAATATTATATAGTAGTAATAAATTAAATGAACTAAAAAATGGCTTTGATGTTAATTTTATAAACAAAATTATTTGAAAATTACTTATATGAAACTTGAACCTATGGAAAATATAATAAAGAGATAACATTCATACTAACTTTATTAATAGATATAATATAAATTTTAAGTATGTCTTACCCATTTATAAAAAAGAAGAAATGCATGAGCCGTCCAATGCCCTGATTTTATATTTCCAATCCCATTCCCTCTTAAAATGCCTAAAGAGTATGGGACAAGTAGAGTTTGGGGGTTTCCAATTCTACCCCACCCTGATTTCATATTTTTAATCCTATCCCCTCTTAAAATGCTTGAAGATTATGGATTCATCCAACACCCTAATTTTATATTTCTAATCCTACCCCCTCCCTGATTTCATATTTCCAATCCTATCCCCTCTTAAAATGCCTGGAGAGAATGGAGGTATGGGACAAGTAGAGTTT